TGCATGTTTTCACACACTTCCACCTGTGTTTGTCAGTCGATTGGTGCCTTGTGGGCGGAGATACAGACGGGGGGGTTAGTAGACATTATTCCCCCCCGGGGGAGCAGGTTGGCGCAACCGATATATTTTGCCCAACAGAAATATTTTGGCCATCGGCCATGGCTGCACCAAACCTGCCCCATCTCCGCTGTACGATGTAGCTCGCGATACCTCCACATTACAGCAGCACGGCCGTGCATGTCCTGGCTCGATTGGTACCTTGTGGGCAGAGATACAGATGGGGGCGGGGGATTTAGACACGCCGAAAAGTAAATGGTAGATCCCATTTGTTTTTCGGCTACACAGTACTGTGGACCAGACCCCGGAGAAGGTTCTCGTTGAGTCACGCGCAACCGCATGATCAAGGCCGACACGCGTCGCAAATGAATGACAGCACGGCGCATAGACGCGTAGCACGCGTCAGTCGTACTTGTAGACCTACCTACCGCAAGCCATGAAGGGGTAGCGTAGGTGTAGTAGCACACATGTATCCACGCCACGCTGTTTTACGCTGCAGCACCACGTGCTGCATCAGATACACACATTCAACCACTCACAGACAATGTCCGACACACGTCGCAACTACGAAAGCAGAGGGAGCTGCGGCCGTTGTCGTGCGCCAAACACACCAGTCTGGAAACTACTGCTGTGCACACGCCTGTCGTATTCTCCAGTTTCATCACTTCATATCATATACATACGTGATTTTGCCGTTTGGACGACAGTGCTCAGAATGGAGTTGGCTGTTTATTTATTTATTTTTGTCTTGGTTTTCCGCATGTCCATGTGTTCACAGCGTTTGTTTGTCCAGAGCTCCCTACCTTGTTCGTTTTCATGTAGGAATATCCATCAGAGATATCCAACAGTCTTCACTACTCGGAGTGTATGCTTGATAGGTGTACATTTGAGTATTGTAGTTTTGCACACAACTTGCCATGGGGGCTACGGTGTTATGTGCTCGAAGTATATTGTAATCGCTTTCTACAGTTGACTCTGTTCCCCAAATGGAAATTGGAGTTTTACCCAGCACACTTCCGCTAAAATGCCACACAAAAATCTTGTCCGACATTTATATACTGGAATCAAGTAAAATTTGATCGAAATCAATACTCAACTCAAGTACTTTGTGTCACAACAAACAGTCGACACTCAACTCAGTAACATGTGTAATGGCAATTAAAAACAGTTGACACTCAACTCAGTAACATGTGTAATGGCAATTAATACTCAACTCAAGTAACTTATACCGCAAAAAGTCAATACCCTACTGAAGTGATTGTACCAACCCAACCCAACCCAACCCAACCCAACCCAACCTCACCAAACAACCCAACCAAACCGAAACTGCTGTGTGCCAGCACGCATGCAAGCCCCTTTCTGGAAGGGGCACGCAGCGCCTGGCACATCGCATACATACACGCGCTGCCGTCCACCACGCCGTCCACCAGCAGCGCGGGCGACACACACGTGACCCGACGATGGCGTTGAGTCAGCGGCGTGCGTCTGTCACATAACATACACATACACATATCATGTTATATACAAGGGCTCCGGACTTCGGGCGCGGAGGCGCCCTCGTCCTCAGTAGTAGGCTTAAAGGGAAGGTGTGAAGGCTGTGCACTGCATACCAAGGTCATGAAGCCGAAGGGCGACCGAATGAACGGTGTGAAGATGTCAGCGTTGTATTCGAGAAATGTGTCGTTCCCGGTGTAACATGAAGCCAAATGAGTTGCGTGTACGTGAATTTTTGTCTAGCTTCGCCCGGTGCGGACGAAAAAGAGATGTAAGCTACGGTCGCCTCCTTGTTCTTGCACCGGTAAGAACGTAGTCACAATCGCAGGCAGCGATCTCTAAGTGGCTTAGCGGTGGCCAATATTCTCCCCAAAGGAGCCAAAGAAAGAACGAACACTGCAATTGTTCGACGGTTTTGCCGGTAGTTGATGGTGTGTTGCCGCCTAGCTCTCATATTCAAACTTTTTCAGTGTTAAACTTCTGGAACTATTACTCTAACTTCGTCAGTGTCGTCCCGCTCGAATGGTCATATTCGATCTTCTTCAGTGTCGATCCGCTCTAATGTCGCGCCCTTCTCTAATGTCCCCCTCTAATGACGCCGATATGCGGTATCCCTCCCAATGTGAAAGGAGTTGAACACTTGCAATATTCAGACTGCGTTGCCGCTAGTTGACGGTGAAAGAGTTGACGCCTCCCGCCTCGGGTCATCGTTGCGCCTTACAGCCCTGGTGGCTATTGCCGATTACCACTGCTGAAGGTATGGTTTCTTTTGCAGCATTGTACGGAGATCTCAAACTTCATAATGTTGAAGCGCGACAGTGATGGCCGTGATGATGTCGGTGATGGTGCAGGCGGTAGGGTGCATGCGCTGGCGGCAGAATGCAATTATTGGGTAGATGGATGTAAGAGCGTGTACGTGTCATAATGCCTAGATGATACCGTAAAAGGCAAGCATCAAGCAGAAGAAAGAGGTTGTTGGGGAAGAGGTAATGTGGAGGCGTTAAAGTGGATGTTTATCTGAGCATCAAAAATTCGTTTAGCTGCGATGGGGCAGGAACCTAGGCTTGTCGTTCGGACTGTCGCGTGGATAAGTTACTACAGCACATGACTGTAGCGTGGATAAGTTACTACAGCACGTGATCCGCTGTTTTCCTGACCTGATGTGATTACTAAAGCTGCAACTTCCGGTGCTGAAACCTTTTCACCTACAACGGGTCCGTCGTTTGTTCGGCTTACTTCAACGAACTCAATGTACGCAGGGTCCGCGGATTCAGCGTGGTGGGCGTTAGGTTGGTTAATAACGCTATCTACAGCAGATCGGTATTGTTGTGCCCACGGAATATTATTGTGCACATGCGTTCGTAAAGTTGTCGCGATGTTTTCGTCCAATTCAAGGGATGAAATGTTCTGTGTGAATTCAGAATCGTATATGTAAAACCTCGATTTGTTCGACACGGAATAGTTCTCATAATGTTGTTGGAGGTCGAATATGCGGTGGTAAGCACGCCCATGCAAGGTGAGTCCATGTCTTTTTTTGAATACTGCCTGCGCCTAATGCATTAAATCCGAAAAGCCCGTTGTACCTTCTTTGAGCAGAAGTATATTTAGCAGTTTCAAACAGCGCCATAAGATGGTGGGGGGTAGATTTGAGACGATGGATACACGACTTGCCTTTGGTACAACAATTTAATCTCGTTTCTTCTTTCCAACGTTGAGCATTGCAGTGAGAACAGTGATATTTTGTGAATAATCCAAATCCATCCTTCCTTGTGTTTTAGCTCGAAAGGTGCCGAGGGGAAGTCGAATGATTGCGAGTCAATGTCTTGCACTCCAAAGCGGATTTGTTTTTTGCATCACCGCGATGGCTGTCTAGTTTGGGTGCCGGTAACCTTGGTGCACGATTCCGTATTTGGCTAAAATATTGACGTACGTATCATATCGAGTTCAGGGTCTGACTCGTGTGGTGTGTTATTGTTTGCATTGCGACGTCGACGTTCCGTTAAGATTTCAGCACGTCTTCGTCTGCGAGATCTTGCTAGTACTGCGTGTTGCTCGTTATCCGGACAGGTTTGTGGAGTTCGAGTTTCAGGCGTTGTTCGTTGTTGGCCGAGCGATCTTCGTTGGGTATTTCGACGAGCTGAAGGTGGTCGTCGAGTTTGAGTTGTTTGTTCGTTCTTTGAGGGAGTATTACTCTGGCTGGGTGTTGATATTTGGTGTGGATTGTGACGTGCAGTATGTGATCGTGTTTGGCGATTTTGAGATGCGGCTGCTGAACGAGTTACCCGATGAATTGGCGTCGGCCGACATCGATGATTGTCAGACATGTGGTGATATCTTTACTCTATTGGTAGTTGGCGAAAGCCAGTTGAAGGTGGCACAATGTGCCTTAAATGACTTGAGACGTTTGCTTTTTTCTGAAATGGAAACACGCGTCTTACTATAGAGGTCGGCGAGGGCGGCCGGGAAGGTGGCGGAGGGCTGGGAAGACTCCTTGTCGTGGGTAGTTCCCAGGTCGCGGTGCTCGTCGGTCTTGTACGGGAACTCGTGGATGGTCTGGTCCCACAGGCGGCGGGCGCACTAGTAGTGCAGCGGCGGGGAGTCCCAATCCTTGATGATCAGGTTGTCCTCGACGATCTCGCCCGTGCACCCGTCGGTCAGGTCTTCCTCGTTAGTCGCTGCGTCATGACACTCGCAGTGCACCTTTGCAGTGGATATCGGATGGGTGTCTGGGGAAAATATAAGGAATAAATTTCACATGGTTTTACTATATAAAAAAGTGATATTTTATTTGTGACGGCGACCGGTGAACACGGCGTAATTTTGTGACATATTGGTAACTAATTTACAGCAACAGTCGGATGCATCCGCGCACCCATATCTAGGTAACTACGCACACGCACGACTGTTAGCCCTGCGCCTGACCCAAAATGTTGTATGCGCGTGGCACGGCTATTCGGCTTTCTCTGACCAAAACAAAGTTTTTCCGCTTGTCCGGTTGACGACGCCAAACCTTGTTTTGACTTGATATTAAACAGCGAGAGGAGAACGCGAAATACTCGATGCCACAAACGAGTTGGCTCCTGCGGTAAAGGATACACCTGTGAACAGGACATATGCGTGTTATTGTCTGTCAGTTTTTCAATCGGCGGGTTCTAACCCACCAAACTCTCTAAAACCAAGTCAATTTCGGCCTTTATTCCCAGCTGCCGCGAACGTGCAAGTCTATAACAAATATCGCCACCGACCAAAACACAGCTCTTGTTTCTATCGAGGTCACACAAGAAACCGTTCTTAAAACGAGTGCACCGTCGTCGGTCACTTCGCATCCTAAGACCGGGTGCTGGCGTGTTGCCATGGGCAAGGCACGGTCGAATTCTTCACCGCCTTCGCAGAGGAAACTCAACATAAAATTCAAGGCCCAAAATGCGAAATGTGTCGAACGAAACGGCATGACGATGGAAAATAGAGCGTCGCAAGCCAGGTACAACAAGCTCGTGCAGAAAGCAGACGTCAAGGAGTTGACACGGAGCCACGACGCCGCAAAAGCGAGAGCTGATGCCGTCCGCGTACAAAGGAACAAGGCGAATGCGACAAAGAGAGAGGCGGAAAAACTAGCAGCAGCAGCAAACGTTGAAGCAAGCAAGCAACGAGAGCTACGCCTGGGAGCAGCACAAGCGGCAGCGGCTGAGCACGAGAGCCGAGTGAGGACGGAGAAGAAGCTGGAGAAGGAGCGCCAGCAAGTGCAGCGCTTGACGGAGAAGCTGTCGGTGTTGGCGCTGGAGAAGCGCAAGCTGGATGCGAAATATCGACAGACAGTAAAGGACGCTGGTCTCCACGCTCCTGCTGGTGGTGGTGGGGGTGGTGGTGGTGGTGCTGCTACTTCTCCCGCGCTTTCTCTTCGGAAGCAGGTCATCCGAGACTCGATGGCGAGAGGCCAGAGGAAGAGAGAACTGGCTTCAATGGCCGCGCTGGTGAACGCCAACGCAATTTTGAGGAAGCAGGTAAGCGAGGAGAGAGCGAGGAGAGGGCTACGTACTCTTGCTCACTTCAACGGTCTTTTTTTTTCATGCCAACAAAAAAACAGGCAACTGGAAATTTTGTGCGACAAAGCATGCATAGGTTTTCTGATATGTTTTTGTTTGTGTATCTCATGCGTAGCTACTGCCATGACCGCGCTGTTTGTGCCGACAACAGGGCAAACGTCAGAAAGAGAGGATCACCGTGCTCCGCGAGGAGGCAAAGAGTGCTCTGAGGCCCTCGCCGCAATGATGATGAAAATCAGCACCGCGAAGGACGATGGACCGTTCGAAATGATGCAAAGCAATTTTCGCCGGATTGATATTGACTCCGAGCGGGCGCTCGCTGTGATCGCGGAAGAAGAAGAGGGTGACTCGACGGAGGAGAAGAGCAGCAAGAGGCGGTCGTATGGGGTTGTTCAAGAATACCCCGAGGTCGGCACCCCGCTTTGCCAGGGCGGTCGCTTGATCATGTCCACGTTGCGGTTGGCGGTGGATGTCGCGCTAGACGTCAACAGCGGCAAGATGAAATTTCATGGCAAAACCGCACAGCGGCTCGCTCTTGGCAGCGCGCATCTAGACATGGCGGAACTGATCGCCACCATTCTCGAAAGCACCCTACTTGCTTATCGCGGGCGACGAATCGCTGCGAAAGGGCGACAAAAATTTCCCCATCTTCGTGGGGTTTTGGGACGTGGTTGCTGATGCACCTTGGTGGGGGCTCCTTCGCATGTGCAGCATGAAAGACAAGACAGCAGAAACTCAAGCGGCACTCTTCTACCGACACAATCGTGAACGTGTTGAAATATCCTCGCCACCAAGTGCTTTACGTCCTCTCTGACAACACTGCTTTTGTCTCGGGCGCAAGGGGCGGCTGTGTGACCAACCTGCATCAGAAACTCCGTGGGGAGGACACCACGGCACCTGGCCGCGATAGAGGGCGTGGGCGAGGATCGCGGGGTGGGCAAGCAAGAGGTCAAAACGCGGGAAGAGGCCGTGGCGGAAACGCGGAGAGAGGACGCAGCAGCGCAAGAGGAAGGAGCGGCGAAGGGCGAGCTGGTAGGGGTCGGGGTGGCAGGCACTCGTCTTAGGTTCGTGGGTGGGGCTGGAGACAAAGCAAGCGCGGTGGTGGCCGGAGCACCAGAGATAATGTGTGAGAGGGTAAAGTTGTTTTTCGTGCGTGTGTTCTTTTTTCAGCTGTTGCTGCTGCTGCTGCTGCCTTTTTTCGGTGAATTGATTTTTGCGCCACGGCGCAAAGGCTGTACCGCCGGCGATACTGCAGTCCTTTCTGTCGTTGCTGCGTTATCAGTAGCTCTGGATTCTACACTTGCTGCGCATTGCATCTTCGACCTCGTGCAGGGGAGGAAAGGTTGCGAGCGTGGGCAGTTCCTTGTGGATGTTGTGTTTGTCAAACAAATTTTTTTTGCGTGTTGAATAAAGAATATGGCTGCCTTCATCCATCTGTTTCTTCGTTTCTTTCGTCATGGCTAACATTTTGCGTCACGGCGCAAAGGCTACCGCCGGCGCTGCTGCAGCTCTTGATATCGTTGCTGTGTCATTAGTAGCTCTGGCCCATACCCTTGCTGCGTAGTACCTCTTTGACCACGTGCGGGGAAAGAAAGTTTGCGAGCGCGGGCAGTTCCTTTTGGATGCCGTGTTGCTGCAAACAACTTTTTTTTTCGTGGTGATTGGAAAATATTGCTTCATTAATCCATCGATTTCGGACTTCCTTTCGTCATCACCAACATTTGCACCACGGCGCACAGGCTGTACGGCCGGCGCTACTACAGCCCTTTGTATCGTTGCTGCGCCATCAGTGGCTCTGGCTTATACACTTGCTGCCCAATACCTCTTCGACCTCGAGCAGGGGAGGAAAGGTTGCGAGCGCGGGCAGTTCCTTCGGGTGTTGTTGTGTTGTTTAACCAAAGTTTTTTTTTCGTGTTGATTCAAAAATACTGCAGCCTTCATCCATCTACTTCCGAAGTACGGCGTATTTTCTATCACATCTAATCATCCTCCTCTCCGCTGAGCTCCGCGGACACATCACTCTCAGACTCCGACTCCGACATATCAAGCACGCTCCTAACCTGCCACCCTGGGCCATACTTAGCTTTATTAGTTGCAGTCCTCACAAACTGGGTTACATCATGCCCGCGTTTGCGCTGCTGTCTCTCATTCGGAACTGCTTCTGAGGCAGCTTTCCGCAACGCTCTCGCTTCGGCAATTGCCTTGTTTCCTGCCTCCCGAATTTCATGGTTGGACGCGTGCAACTTCCGTATTCTCCTAGACTGGGCCGAGCGGAACTGGCCAAGGCGAACGATATCAATCTCCCTCGAGTCGTGCTGCTGCGTGCAAGTATCGTACTTTGAAAACACGCTCCCCACAAGCTGTTCATGAATTACAGCGAGGAAAATCGCGTGACGAGCCCATTCGTATAAAAGAGGGAAGTTCCAAATCATGCCAAAAGCTGAGACACGCGGCGGTGGATTGTCAACATCTAGGTCGTCGCTTACAACCTCTTTCTTCTCGTGCGCAGATGCGGCGTACACCTCAACCTCTTTTCTGAACTCAGCACTCTCGTTCAACTCCGTGTACATGCCAAACGTTAGCTTATCTTTTTCTCCTGGTGTCGTTGCCTCCGAGAGGTCCCCCTCCAAAATTCCGAGAATGTCATGCTCCTCCTGCCACTCCCTCCACTCAGCACTCTCGTTTTTCTCAGGCCATAGCGCCACTAGCAATGCCCGCGCAAACTCCTTCCCTACAGCATGCTCGTTTGCCTTGTCCGCCCCCGCCCACTTGCCCTCGTATAGTAACTGCAAGCTAACCTGGCCATGCTGTAGGGGAGGTGCTGATGCATGTCGGTCCATTTTGTCCAGCGCTCACTCATCTCCCAGAAAAAAACACCTTCCTCGTTCTCGAAGTTCTGCAAAAAGTGGCGAAACTGCATGCAGCATTTGGGGAGGGCAGCAGGGAATCCAGGGGCGTGAGGGTCCAGCCTTAGGGAGAGAATCGTGAGGTAAATCATGGGGTGTGAGGGTTGATCGGTGCTGCTAGCGATTGCCCTTCAGCGGCATAAGGAGGGCGCGTAGCATACATGAGGAGAGCAGACGGACCAAAACGAAACGAGGTCTGGCAAAGAATCACCGAGAAAAAGGCGGGCTTTTTCTAAAGAAACAAAACATGAAAACGAGGAGGGTATGCAGCAGCAGCAGCAGCAGCAGCACTTGCCAAGCACAGCCCGAAAGACGGCACTTCGGCAGGGATGAAGTGCAGGAAACGAACAGGGAACACATCAATCACGTACAACATACATCTATGCCCATCCTTCTTACCTCGTTTTCTGTCAGCTCGTTGAGAGCAAACCAGAGCAGCTCCGTCAAATATTTCCACGGGCGAGCGCGAAGCTCCTCGATCCGCCGCAGCAGCAGCAAAGAGAAGTCGGCCGCCTCCGCCAAACGCATCCCAGGGGGCAGACGCTCCGCTCCGCCAGCCGTGCCCTTCAACAAGTAGCCACCCTTCCCCCGAATCCAGTTGTATGCCCAGCCGACAACTGCTTTTCTCAGCTCAACGCAAAACTTTGCGTGTACACGAATGAGAGGGTTGTCAAGCATGCAGAGTGCCTTGAACCAGTAACCCATGAACGGCGTGCCTAGCATCTCCTGGGCGGCTCACTTCGCATGCAACCATCTAGCCTCCTCCCATCGGTCCTCAAGCACTTCTGCCCCGTCCCAAACGACCTTCCATCGCGTTTCGGCCGGCCTAATGAACTTGTTCTTCCACTGAAAGCCTTTGCACCCAAACACGAGGCGCTGAAATATTTTCCATGAAATGCAAGAGGAGTCGGACTTGCTGGTGTTGTATCAGATCGACCCAAGCAGTGCCACGAGGTGTTGATGTTCCAACTCGTGCCAGGAACCTTTGCCAAGAAGGCCCATGAAAACCTCACACGCCATCCCCGCGTTGATGGAGAGGTGTAGCACGTGAAGCAGGCAGCCAATGCGGAGAGCAAAAAGGGGAAGGTCCCCACTCTCCTCCTCGAATTCAAAAATGATTTCAGGAAGAGTTGGCAGAGTAGAGGATGCGTTCCGCGCATCTTCCGCGTCATCGGCCATTAAATTGTGGCGCTGGTCCGCGGTGGGGTGGTCGCAGGTCTACTTGGATCACGAGGGAGCACTAACACCAACCCCACCGCCGTGTGTTGTCAGTGTGTTGTTGTTCATGCGCATCCACACGCGCTCAAAACAAATTCAAAAAAATTCAAATTCGAGCCATCACAGCAAATGTTCGGTCCGTTCGTCCTGGAAACGCACGCTGCTTTCAAAATTGGTGGGCGTTGATTGGTCTGAGAACGAAATGAAAAATAAAAAAGTATGTTCGAAAGAACATCCGCTGGACAGAAATTTGGCGCAAAAACAGGGTCAGGCGCAGGGCTAACTGTTCACTACACAATCACGTTCCGATGTAAACGGGTGTACACATGATTTACTTTGATAAGGCTGGCGGGGGCGACGGTGACGTGCTTGAACTCCTTGCCGTCCGGAGACTTGACACCAGCGTAAAGACGCCACACCGCGTGGATATTGTTCCACTCTGACAACAACAGCAAGCAAAAAGGGCATTGTTGTGGAGAGATTTAGCGGTTGCGGTTGCGATGCAGTTTCATGTCAGGTCTTCATGCAACACCTGAACAACGTTCGGGCACACATCAGGCGGAATTAAATTGAAAAAAATTAAAAAGAGAGAACTTTCTTTTACCTTTGTAGCCGCGGCTGTTGACCTGGTCGGTTGGGATCCCGAGCGGAGGAGTACCTCCCACCGGGGCGAGGTTGCTGGGCATTATGGGAGAGGGCGTTCATGTTGTGTTGCAGCTGAAGGTCGATGCGGGGATGAGAGGAGAGGATGTCGAAAGTGAGAGTGACCCGGATATGCACTCTTTCATTCACTCTGCAAATATTCTAACCTCTGACTAACTTCCTGCAGTTATCCCATGAAGTTGATTACACAACCCAGAACGTTCACTGTGCGCAGATTAACTTCTGACTAACTTGCAGCAATTATTCCATGAAACGGTGTGGTATCACGAAAAGTTTATCTCTTTTGTTTAACTGTGTACTTCCTCTGTCCCAAAAGTCTAGTCGGTTATGGATGACAAGTTGTTCGTGTAATTAGAAGTTGACCCTACCCTTTTAGTTAGGTTCGTTTGAAAGCTGACGTGTAGACGATGGTGATGGGAAAGAAAAAAAAAGTACTTGACCACAAACAAAGGGTCAGAAAACAGGAAATTATGGGAATTTTTTCAAGTTTTTTATTTAGAATATTTTATAGAATTCCCGCAAAACTTCCTAAAATTCAGCATACCACAGCCCACAAACACTCCGCAAGATGGGCGACAACGGCTTAAGTGTTGAACGTACCGGGGTGAGGGTGCGGCAGAGGGCGGGAACGTTGGAAAGAAGGGTAAAGTACGATGAGGAGGCCTTTAAGAAGGCTTGGGACTATCTGGCAGATGACGAGGAGGCGTAAGGTAAGAGGGCCGTACCCCTCTTTGTTTTGCCCCGCAAGTGTCTTGGTTTTAGTGTGGTAACCCCAATTGTCTTGGTTTCAGTGTGGGTCCCCAAGTATCCTTGTTTTTGTGTAAGGCCCGTGTCTTTTTTAGTGCGGGTTCACTATTATACTGGTTTTAGTATGTGGGGACGCGGTGTGATTCTTGAGTAGAGCGGAGTTAGGTTTAGGGTTTGGGGCAAGGCTTGGGTGTCGTTGTATTGTTTTTCATAGTGCCCCCACCCCACCCCCCTCTGGAAAGGGGTCTAAAAATGGCCATTTTTGGTCAGACTACTTTTTTGCTGGCCGCTAGATCATGCAGGGTAGTGCGCAAGAAAAAAAAATGTGTTTCGACCCAAAAAACGCTCAAGATTTTAAAAAAATCATCGCCGAAGGCATCCGACACCGTTAACGGTCTCCCCCAACATAACCGACTAGACTTATGGGACAGAGGAAGTATATACGATGGGGCGCAGTCTACAGCACCACCTTCAATACAACAGCAGCAGTACAACAACAGTGTTCACAGACATATGCGTACAACCTTGCAGCACTTGCAGCAATTGATGATGCCGTGAGATTTGTGTGCATGTTCAAGTCTAAAGTTGTATTAATCTACATTCATTTGTCCAATCTTCCTTGCTACAGCTGTATAGTATGTGCAACTTGGAGGGTTGGAGGGTGTGTGTGGCATATACCACGTAGTACGTAATAACCATCCGTGCGTGCGGTGACAATACACGATGCACATACTCCAGTTCGCGTTGCTTCCGCTAGAGAAGGCGACAGGATGCATGCATGCACTACCACTGTGCCTACAACGCATACCAGATTGTACGGACAGTCTGTCGATATCTATCTACAGATGAGACCATGCGGCAAAAAAAAACTGTGCAAGGTACTGCATGTACGCTTGTACTTCAAGTATGTGGCATGATTTATGAGTTGACGTTCTCCGAAATCTCGTCCAATGAGCTGCGTAATTTTTTAGAGATCACAGTCCCTTGAAGTCCCTTGCGTAGACGCGCCCGGATGCACGATATTTAGCCATACTTCACGGTGCTGTCACTCTGCTCTCCCTTGGAGTTTGGAGCTCGCGACAGCGACGCTGTGGTCGTGAAAGTGGCACGCCCACGTCGGCGAAGACGGCCGAGAAAGTATTTCAACCCCAATAAAAAACAAATAAAACCGACTTGCCGCACCGCAACGTCTAGCCCAATGACTGAGAAAGTGGTTGCGTGCATTCACCGTGCTGTAACTCTACTCTCCTTTGGAGTTTCGAGCTCGCGACAGGGGCGATGCGATCCAGAGACTGGCCCGCTGCAGCGGGCAACAGCCAGCCGGCGAAAAATAAAGTATCAAGGCGACCGCGAACTGATGCACCAATATTTAACGTCTTGTTTTTAGAGTGGAATAATGGCTGAACTCTTGCGTCTCAGGCCTCCGACATAATCGTAGTTAAGTCTATACTTACAGGATGGTCGTCGTGACGTGATACATTTCTTGTTATTAGTATGGAAAAAAATAAAAAAAAGATGGCTCGATTTTTGAATTTCTACAGCAGTTGGGACCATGCGCCGACTGTACATAAAAGTCGTACGAGTGTCGACTCAGTTGTGCTGTCACAGCATCTTCCACGCGCTTCTGCCAGTGCTGGTTTGTTGATTGGAGTCTTGTAGGTCGAGATGCAGCAGTGGGATTCTCGGGTTGTGGAGGCAAAAAAGTGAACCAGAGCAAAAAATTGCATGCACAGCTCGATTACTGCTGTGTTTTTGCTACAGCAGTATGGACTAGACGCCGAACGACGTCCGCGTACTACCGCAACGACCTAACTGGATGGGATACTTCCTGCCACGGCGAACCATAGTACCATGCGATGCAATCATCCGTTCGTGTGTCGTACGGCTGCCACATGTGTCGACGACAGGTACACGTAGAGCTCTCGCCATGTTGTCGTTACCGCGCAGGAGGACCCCTCTTAGATCTTCCACATGGTGCTACAACGACAGCAGTACAACTGTACATCGCTGTTGTAGGAAGGTGGAGTTGTGCTGTCGCGGCATCTTCCACGCACTCTCCTACCGGTGCTTGCGTCGATTGGGGTCTTGTACGCCGAAATACAAGAGTGGGTTGGGTTCCGGGGTTGTGGAAGCAAACCTGCCTGTAACAACAGAGAAGGCGGTGTTCTATTTACTACATACAGCAGTACCCGCTCAACTTTGGTTTTTGCGGCATGTGGTTGCATATTTCTTTGCCACTGCCGAAAAAGACGGCTGGATCTTTACGCAGCCCACCCTTCGCATTTATCATTTTAAACCGAACGACG